TGGTGGTTCAGCACCAGGCCATCCCCTCCAGTGCCTCCATTGGAAGCCCCTGCCCCTGTGAGGTCACGCAGGGCTATGACATCATCACTCCCCCTGAGCCCCTGCTTGGGGTGGGATGCAGCCCTAGGGGCCCCAATACCACCCTCCCCCACCCCCAGAAGAAGCCTCAGTCCAGTGCAAAACTAACCAGAGTTTATTGCTTCACGAGCCATCCCTGACCCTACAAGACCAGGGGCTTGAAGGCACCGAGGACGAGGGGACATGGGGGGGGTCCAGCCGGGGGCTGGAGGTGACCCCAGTAGGCACTTGGGGGAACCAAGGCATGTTACTGCACGGCCCTGGCACAGGTGACAAGGGACAGAGCTGCACGTGGGACAGGCAGGAGCGGTCCCTTGTACAGGCAGGCACTGAGGTTACGGGCAAGGTGGGCCAGGCAGGGGTTAGTAGATGCTCCTATCGAGGCTTAGGCAGGTGGTGGGGGGGATACACCAACAGCACCCCAGCCCAGAAGATGCTACTTCATCTCCAGGTCCACCAGGCGCTGGCCCGAGGGGGCAAAGGGTCCCACCAGCCAGGTCAGGGGGGTGTTGTGGGCCACGTGCTCCACCAGCTCATCCATCAGCTGGCGAGCTTTGGTGGCACGGGCACGGGCTTGAGCCAGCACGCTGCTCGTCACGTCCTGGAGGGAGGCGGCGGAGGCGAGGGCTGCCCGTAGCTCCTCCACGTTATGCCGGACCTGCCCCGCCGTGTCCTGGATGCTGGCAGGGAGGCCCTGGAGGCTGGACACCAAGGGCTGGCAGGAGCTCTGGAGCTGCTGCGTCAAGCCCTGCAGCAGGGCCAGCGTGCCCGACTCCACTGGCTGCAGGGGGACAAGGAGGTGGTGAGGGGTGTGGGGGGGACACCAGGTCACCCTGGGGACCCCCTGCCCTCCACCTACCTCCGGTGGCACCAGGTCCTTGCCGCCACCCGGTTGCTTCTTGCTCCACTCCAGCCACATCTGCTGCAGCTTCTCCTGCCCTCCCTGCAGCTTCTGGTCCATGCCCTGCTTGAGGTGCTCCACCTGAGGAGAGACAGAGCTTGGCGTGGGTGGCCTGCTGCAGCTCCAGGATGGCATGGGGGGACGTGGGGATGGGTCCTACCAGGTCAAGGGTGCGCTGGAGCTGGGCCAGCACATCCTGGCTGCTGTGGCGGGCGCTCTGCAGCTTGCCCAGCGAGTGCTGGAGGGCTCGGTGCCGCAGCTTGGTCGAGAGGGAGCCCAGGCGCACGAAGTAGCTCTGCTGCTGCTTCTGCTGCTCTGTTTCGAAGCCCTCCACAGCTGTGGCCAGCTTGGCTGTGGGAGAGGAGCTGCTGAGGTGGCCCCACCCCTCACCCCAACCCCATGTAGAGCCAGCATCATCCTGCCCAGGCTCTACCCACCCCCTCTCCAAGGGGACCCCCAGGCCATGACACATCTCCAGGGGGTTGTGATCAGCTCCTTACCCAGCTCCTCATCCGTCATGGGCAGGTAATGGTCCACCAGCTCCTCCGACTTCTCCAGCACGGAGCCCATCCCGCTCACCACCATCTGGCCCACGGTCGAGCCCATGACTGTGTTGACGCCACTGCTCACCACCGACTTGGTCAGCTCCACACTGCCCTGCATGGCCCCTTTGGTCATGTCCATCACACCCGTCACCCGGCTGGTCACCACGTCCTTGGCCCCAGCCACGGTGCTGGTCAGGACATCCTTGGCCCCCGTCACCGTGGATGTCACCAGCTGCTTGGTGTCCGAGATGAGCTGGTTGTAGGGTGGACAACCCTCTATTAAACAGTGCTGGGGGGGGACCTCGAGCATGTTTGCCCACCCCACCCTACCCCACTACCTTCTCCGTGGGCTGCTGCAGGATGGGCAGCTTCTCCTCCAGCTTATCCAGCCCTTTGCAGGCGTATTCATTCGCGGTGGAAACTAGAGACATAAAACCAGATGTTTTTAACATCCTGATGACTTGCAAGATCTTTGCTAAGGCCAGTTTTCAGGCATCTCAAAACTCATGGGGTGCTGCCCCCCCCCCAGCTTCTCCTCCAGCCCTTTGCAGGCATATTCGTTCGCAGTGGAAACTTAAGAGATGAGAAAACAGCTTTTTCTTACCCTGCTGCCTTGCAAGAGCTCTGCTACAGCCAGTTTTCGGGCACCCCAAAACCCTCTCAAAACTCATGGGGTGCTGCCCCCCCCCCAGCTTCTCCTCCAGCCCTTTCCAGGCATATTCGTTCGCAGGGGAAACTTAAGAGATGAGAAAACAGCTTTTTCTTACCCTGCTGCCTTGCAAGAGCTCTGCTACAGCCAGTTTTCAGGCACCCCAAAACCCATGGGGTGCTGCCCCCCCCCTCC